TGATCCTGATCATACGTCATATTTTGAAATTGAAGATATGTTGAAACTACTGAACTTAGATCCGAAAAGTGAAGTTTATTATAAAGACCTTAGTAATGGAAATTATGTGTTAATAACCCCTGATGAATGTCTGTTATAAATGTTTGTAATGTACAAGAACTTTTCATTAGTGAAGGTATTAGTTGTTGGAGGTAAATATATTCCAGTTGTTGATGTGTCAACTGCACCTGAACCTGAAGCTGCACCTGCACTTGCGCCTTCACCTCATTCCCCTTCCCATTCACTTGTCCATTCCTCCTCCCATTCACTTGCACCTGAGACTGAGGATAACAATGGTGATATCAAAGCTTTATGGGGTCAAGTAGAAGAGTTAGATGGAGATTCTGTATATACACTAAGTGATGAGCTGTGGAGTGTTCATAGCTCATCGGATGAGGAAGTTGATAGCAACATCAAAGCTAGTGAATATGTTATTGAAAGGGATTTAGGGACTAAACCCTTATAAATTGGGACGAAGTTTACATGTGTAGATGATTTTAGGGTAGCATTGAGGGACCATGCTATAAAAATACAAGTATGATTTTAGGCTTAAGAAAAATGAAAAAAACAGGATTACTGCTGTGTGCATTAGTAAATGTGGTTGGAGGATTCATGCCTCAAAGAATAGTAGTGATAATATTTTTCAAATCAAGACATGTAAAAGTACACACCACTATATTCCACCTGAAACAAATAGGCAAGCAACATCAAGGTACATAGCCAACCACTACATAAATCAATTCAGAATGGACCCAATTTGGAAGAATTGTGGTTTAAATGGCTTGATTGAAAAGGATTTTGAGATACTAGTTTCTAGATTCAAGTTAATTAAGTAGAGCTAAGGTAAAAGCCTTGAAAATGATTGAAGGTAATTTTGAAGAGCAGTTTATGAAGATCAGAGAGTACTGTGAGCTTGTTATGCAGACAAATCCTGGCAGTGTATGCAAAGTGAAAAAAGAAATTGACAGTGAGGGTAAGCAAAGGTTTCTGAGGGTTTTTTTTTATTGTCTATATGCAATGTGGAGAGGTTTCAAAGTAGGCTATAGGCCATTTGTTGGGCTAAATGGTTGTTTTTTTGAAAGGGCCATATGGAGGACAATTGTTAAGTGCTGTTGGTAGGGACCAAAATGATCGTTATTACCCAATTGCATTTGCAGTGGTGGAAGTTGAGTTAAAGGCCACTTGGCAGTGGTTTATTAATGAGTTGATTGCAATCATTGGTCCCCTTATCACTTTAACTTTTTTCTTTGACAGACAAAAGGGATTGGTTGATGTGTTGGATAGGTTGTGTGAGAATACTGACCATATGTTTTATATTAGACATATGTATGAAAATTTTAGGAAGAAATTTTTATGTCTCAAATTGAAAACTGAATTATTGAATGCTTCTAATGTATTTACACTTGAGGTGTAAAAGACTCACGTGACAAACATTAAGAAGATGAACAATGATGCTTTTGAGTGGCTGAACTGAATCCCTCAATATTTATGGTCCAAGTGTGGCTTTAGAGTGGACTCAAAGTGTGATTTAAATAGTAATAATATGTGTGAATCTTGGAATATGCAGATTCTAAAGGCCACGGGCAAACCATTGATTTATATGTTTGAAATAATTAGGAGATACTTATTGAAGAAGTGTAATAATAAGAGAGAATACATAGAAGGCCAACATAGTCTTTTATGCCCAAAGGTGCAGGATGAAGTGGATAAATTGAGGCTGAAAACTAGAAAATGTCATGCGCAGCCAACAGGACCACAACTGTATGAGGTTGACAGTATTGGGGAGAATGATGGAGTTGATATGGTAAACGGAAAATGCATTTGCAGGGTTTGGGAGGTCACTGGTATACCTTGCATACATGCAGCAGCTGTTATCATTTATAGGAGAGGTAATATTGAAGATTATGTGAGTCATTACTACTGCAGTGAGACACACCTTAAGATATATACACATATAGTGAAGCCATTTTGTTTGAGAAAAATTCTGAACATTGAAGGATATCCTCCCATACTCCCATTATTGAGAGAAAAACCAAAAATGGGAAGGCCAACAAAGCAAAGAAAAAAGAGTGCTAAAGAACTGAAAGAAATTAAAGTAAAAAAACTGCTTCTGGAAGATTGAACTTTAAAGTGAAGTGTGGAAGGTGTAATATGGAAGGGCATAATGTCAGAAGCTGTAAGAATGATGCAAAACCTCCTAAACCACCAGGGGGCAAAGGTGGAAGGCCTCCTTTGAAGAGAACTGGGTTGTTTGTGGGAGAAAGTAGCAGTGAGGGGGTGGAATATTAGTTAGGGCTAGAGGAAATGCAAATGTGCAACAATAGGTAATATATATTCTTATTTTTTTTAACTGTGTAATTTTTGATCGAGTGTAATAACTATGCATGTGCAACTTATGCCTGTCTACGTACTTTTATTGCATGTGAATGTTACTTATATGCCCCAATCTAAAACACTTGGAATTGACCCTACACTTACTATCCAGGAATCTATGGTATGTGGACAGTCTCAAAAAGTTTGATTCCATTCATTTATTTGTAATAAATGTATACAGATCTAATACATTCATTTTTTACTTGTAAGACAATGGACAATGGCTGAACTGACTTTGGATGCAACTCTTTTGGTGTACTTTTGGTTAAAGCTACTTTGGGAGTTACGGGTGACTTGTTTGCTTCATGTGCATGTAGTATTCTTTCTAATCAATTCAATGACTTTTTGTGGTTGTACTGACTTGAATGACAATATTTTTTTATTTATGTGTATGCACACTTTGCACAGGTTCACATTAGTATGAGTTGTAAAACTTTACTGCTAGTGCTAGTAGTTCTAAGATTTTAATACTTTGTGATCTGGATGCATAATATTAATGGTTATTTTGAATGACTTATGGTGACTTACTTTGAATTACAGGTTCACAATGATGTATAACTTATTTTGAACTATAGGTTCACAATGAATGCATGATTGTTTTGCATCACAGGTTCACAGCTTCATAAATATTGCATGATTCATTTTACAGCTGCAAACATTGCTACCACTGCAATACAAGTAAGAAAAACCGAGAAGAAAACCTACAAAAACACCATTATAACCACCATTTATATGCCTCAGACCCAAAAAATCATTCCTTTCTTCATGGTAGTTTTTATTCCTCTCGTTTTTCAACTTCTTCACTTCACACATGAGATCAAACACAAACCTTTTGTAATATTCTAATAATTTTTCATCCTCCCAGCTATAAAACTTGCATGACTTTATTTTGTAATTTGAACAACCATAGAATTTTCAGCCTGGATTTCTTTTAGTCCAAAAAGTTTTCAATGAAGTCAAAACTCCACAATCACAATACAAATTTATTTGTTGGACTTGATGCTTGCATTCTTGATTTCTTGCTATATGAGCTTGAAGATGAAGCCATTTTCAATCAACCTGCAAAAAGAGTGAAAGAAACACGGAGACAAAAATAGGAAATGATCAAAATAGAGAAAGAAATAGAAAATGGAAATATAATGGTGGGAGAGAAGTTAGAGAGGGTGTGTGTGTTCTCTAAAATGAGAGAGAGAGAGAGAGAGTAAACTTATATGGAGAAAAAAAACAGTTAGATAGGAGAGAGGAAAAAAAAATTTATTTAGAAATTAATTATTGAGAGAGAGAGCCGTAACCGCCGTTATAAATGAAAGAATAACAAAATTTAAAAATTATTTTCATATTTAAAAAAAAACCCTTGTATTTTCAAAAGTGCACAAAAAACCCATGTGTTTTCAAAGGGGTATTTTAGGTAATGCAAAATAGTAGTTTTGGTATTAAAGGCCAATTTTTTGTCACATGCACGACACATGCCAATTTTCTTGGTCAAAAACCCTTATTTGCACTATTTTGAAATTACAGGAGTAATGTTTGAACAGTAAGAGTGTTATTTGCACACTTTTGAAACTACATTATGGATCTAATTAATATATAGTTTATACAAATACTAAACACAAAATTCAGATACATCATTACTTAAAATTCCTCTATAAGTATTTATTTATTACCATTGACTTCATTTCACCAGTTTAAATATTTTTCTTCTTTACTAATGGGCCAGTGACCTAGCGGTATCAGTCTCTTACTTTCCAAAGGGAGGTCATCAAGTCTCAGAAGAGACAAGTATGTGTGAGTACCAACTAGGAATTTTTTTTTTCTTTCTAATTTTAATTATATATAATGATTGCTAATTTAAAATAAAATAAAATTAATAACTCTTTAATTTATAAATAGTTAATTGATTGTGTTAAATGATCTTCAAGGAATACATAAAATTTACTAATTAGGTTTGCTTATTCATTAATTTCATAAAAATATAATCAATCTAAAATTCATGAATAGATCATTACTCGTGTTAAAATGATTTTTAAAAGTTCAATAAAATCACTAAATTCATTAAAACCCATACTTATTAAATTATGTGGTAAACAGTCATATCTGTGTTCTCTGGGCATTATTATGCGTGAGATATAAAAAAAATTCAAGATTGCAATAATCAATTCTGTTATGCAACTCCCACGGACGGCTTGAAGTACTAGTTTGGGGCCTTAGGGGGAAAAAAAATTAAAAAGTGATATTTTTATCAATATAAGTAAAAAATTTCACAACTCACAAACTAAATATACAGACAAATTAATATATATATATACACACACACAAATTTATAATAACAAAGTTAATATGTCTGTATATAATAAATTTTTGTCTACTTTTATAATAAAAATAGACAAAACGAAAAAGAGAGTAGGACAAAACGTGAAACCGAGGGTTGAGTAGTGCCGCCGTTGGTTTGCATGTCACAAAGGATTTTTATGCGTTTGTGGTGACACGTAGCCTGGTATATGTGTTAACGTTCATTTTCACTTGCCATCTGTTGGAGAAACAGACGTATGGAGTTCACATATGAGTTACAAATGGTACCTAAACATATCGATTAGCAAGTACGTACTACTATTTGTGATATATAGTGAGAGAAAATAGTACAGATGCAAAGTACAAAATTAGCTGATCAAGTAGGGATGAGTAGTACTGAAGTTTCAGAGGAGACGCAGCAGCAGCCGTTGATAGCAGGTCAGGAGATCAGAAAGATGAAGGTGATGGTGGCAGTGGACGAGAGCGATGAGAGTTTCTACGCTCTCAAGTGGGCCCTCGATAACCTCTTCAGGTCTGCTGCTGCTGCAGCACCTGATCAGCCGCCGGCCAACCAGGATGATCAGATCACCGTTGTTCACGTCCAGCAACCCTTCCAGCCCTACATCTACCCTGCTGGACCTGGTTCGCATCTCTCTCTCTATTTATGTCTACATTGAGTGATATATGTTATACATTTTCTCTTTCAAAACTTAAAATTAAGGGTTGAATTTTGCGGATTGAAAGGGGATTTCGCTTTATTAAAATCCTTTTTATTCCATAGCTCAATTTTTATATGAATAATTAAAAGTTGAAAAATATAACATTGATCAAGCTGGTTTGATTGACAGTTTTTTTTTTCTAAAATTATTGTTATATAAAATTGAATTTAAATTTAAAGAAGAAAAATGTTTGGTGTTCAGATGTAACGGTGCATTATTCGTGATTCAACCAAAAGCTTAAGCTATTAGTTGGAATTAACACCCAACTTATATACACACATTCATTTTTTTGATCCCAATCCGGTCCGACGCGGAACAAGTTAACTCCCCTTCTTGCATTAGACATAGTGAAAATTCTCTTTTTAGTTGTGTTTGGTAAAAATTAAAAATTAAAACGTTAATTTTTTTTTTTGGACTGATGAAGCCTAGTTGAAACTCAAATTTGGAGTTTCCTTTCCACAACATTTTTAATTTAAAATTTCTCATCGAGTTTGGTAAAATAAAAATAAAAAATACTACATTTTTTTTTGTGACTCAGTAAAACTTTTAGCTAAAACTCAAAATTGGAGTTTTAGAAAGAGTATATTATAAAATAAAACAAACAATACTTATATAAATTAATTAATGTGCTTTACATGGTCTGACTTCGATCATGCAACTTCTTTTGACTGGCGACGCCAAACAGACCCTTAATTAGTTTGGCTTTGGTTCATTTATAATGCAATGTACTTAAAATCAATGGTAGAAGAAGAACCCTTTGCATAATCAATTTAATGAGCAATTGATTAATTATACGCTCCTTCATTAACATCTTGAGATGATTTTAGAAGACAACAGAAAAAAAAGAAAAAAAAAACGTTTGGGAATATATATATCATGCTTCAAAATAAAAGAAAATTTATCCTATTTGATATCTCGACACCCTGCATCATTAAAAAGAGTTTAAATAAAATTTAGTAATATGTTTTTGAGGTTGTGCAGTTTGTTTAAATTAAAATACTGTCTGCTGACTATGTATGATTTCCAATTGTTCAATTTTTTAAGTTGTATATGCAACACCTACAGTGGTGGAATCTGTAAGGAAGGCCCAAGAGGAAACTGCTGCTATCATACTCACTCGTGCATTACAAATGTGCAAAGAAAGGATGGTGAGTTTATAATTCCCAATTTATTTCGTGAAACACTTCTGAGTTTGTAATATAATTAGTTTTTAATCTAACTATATATTAACTAAGAAATAATAATAAACAAAAAGGCGAATATGGTCGAGTTGGCATAGAAGTGATTCAAAACTATTCATGTTCAATTCCTGTCAAAACCTCTCCGGCGCCTTAGGTTATCAACAGATGAAAGAATAATAATGCGATACAAAAGGATATTGAGACAAAACAATTCTTTTTAATTCCCTTAGTGGATGTTTGTTACGGGGTTGGGACCTTGACAAACCCTGACAGCCATGGATGCTGTTAGTGTAATTTACCCCTGTGACAATATATATAGTAGTAGCATCTATTTTTGGTTTATCTATAATGTTTTTGGATTTCATATATGTTCTACACAGATCAAAACAGAAACTTTAATTCTCGAAGGAGACCCGAAGGACATGATTTGTCAAGCTACAGAGCAAATGCACGTTGATCTCTTAGTTATGGGCAGCCGCGGTCTTAGCAAGATTAAAAGGTGATTTCTGCAATTTGATTTATTTCCACTAAATTCTAATAGCTTGATGTGCAATTTTCTTTTGACATTGGTATTGTTAACACCAGCGCATTGTACGCATTTAAGTGCTTGTACAGAGTCTCACATATGCATGTATTTTACTCATCCTAGCGTCTCCTGACAGTATCTCAATTTTGATATGAAAACATATTAGGGGTGGGTAAATAATCCGTGAATCCGATCCGTGCGGATAGGATCATATTGCTATACTCACAGATCGGTAGCGGATTCAAAAAAATTAAATCCATATCCGATCCGATTTGATTCGTGAAATATATATATATATTTTCAAATAATATATTAGATAATTTAATTAGTTAATGATAATTTATTGTACTCTAAAGGGTATTAGTTAATAATTATTTAAATATATGAATTAATATTAATAAATTAAATTTTTATGTATTAGGTTAGGGTTAAAAGATAAATAAATAATATTACTTATAAAAATAATAATAATAATAATAATAGATAATTTAGATAAAACCCAATCCGCGGATCTATTCCGATCCGATCCATGGGGTAACAAATTGGTGACGGATTAAAATTTTTATAATCCATTGGGAGCGGAGCCTAATCCGATCCGTGGCCACCCTTAAAACGTATTCATAATTATATTTTTCCAAATCATATAATTAACATGATCAGCATGTAAATGTTAGAGGAAACATGATACGCATCTTTTAGCAAATTAAAGAAATATGGAGTTATTCTTTCAACCTTGAAAATAACATAAAAATAAATTGAAAAATGAATAATTTTTTTTAAGATTTGGGGTATGTGAGTAATGGTAAAGTCATCTATATATATATGAATGAATATTGCAAGAGTACATAGGAGATGATATGTGTGGAGAGGCTGTATATGAATGAAAATGATTTGAAGGATGAGAAGTTAAGAGTAGATTGTAAGACCAATCAAAATTTGTGGGTAAAGCAATTCACCGGAAGTCGTGACCTAAATATCAAATTTCTATTGTATATAATCCAATCATGTGTGTTTTTAATGTTGTCAATAAAGGTTGCTCTTCTTTTTTAGACACTATGTTCTGTCATCAATATGCTTTTACGGTTTTACCCACCTTTACCTGTTTTTGTCAACATCTTTATTATCGTATAATATGCGACATTTGTATTGATGTATTATGTTGTCAATTGTTCATTGCAGGGCCTTTTTGGGGAGTGTAAGTGACTATTGTGCACATCATGCAAAATGTCCCATCCTCATTGTAAAGCCACCCAAGGAGTCCCATAAGTAATTGTGGGGGTATTTTGGCCTTCAAAATGTACGTTGTGAAATGTAATAATGTATGTGAAGCATAATTGCTATGATGTAATGTAAAAGAAGCTACTCTAGTAGTTTTTGGTTGCAACTAAAAATGGAACTTTGCTTAATCCAAATAAGGGATCCTTATGTCGGGGTCCCATGTGCTTTCTCTAACGTTGTTTTGCATGAGAATGACCTTTTACTGGATTATATGCTGACGTTGAAATTATATGTATTAGTTGGCCTTTAAATACTTTTATTGATTTCGTGTTGGTATTTTTGTTGAAAAGTATTAAAAAAAAATTTGTTATTTTAATTTTTTTGTCTTAAATTATTAAAACCAAGGCTGTAGCCTGAATGTCGGATGGTATGAATGCCCGATTGGTGTAGTTCAAGTGTTCAAGTTTTTATCGGGACAAAGACAAAGCGTTTTTTGTTCAGAAAATAATAATAAAAAAATATTGTAAAGTGAAATTAAAATGAGATGGGAGACAAAAATGACATTGAAATTTAATTTCAGTATTCATGTAAACTGATTCCGGACTTTATTTATTTACCCTAAACATACCTAGGATATAAATCTATTTAGAAAATATTAATTTAAAGAGATCACAGCTAATTCTTGAATAAATAGGAAATACCTTATAATTATGCTATTAATTTCACTGGAGTTAAATGTAATTTTGAATCAATAGGAAAGTAAAACTATAAACTACTCAATATAAAGTTAATATATGGATAATATTAACCGTTGAGAATGCGATCCCTACTTATCCGTAATCACAAATTACAAAATAAAAAAAGTAATAGGAAAGAAAAATAATATTCTTTTGAAATAAATTGCGTCACCATTTATTCTTTATTTATTATTATTTTTTTAATTTTTTAAAAACATATTATATGTGTATTTGTGATTAAACTATATTTACCTACTCAATTCTACTTATCATCACTAAGAGTGCGACCTCTACTTATTGTCCAATCACAAATAACAAAATAAAAAGAGTAATAGAAAAGAAAAATAATATTCTTTTAAAATAAATTGAGTCACTTATTCTTTATTTATTGTTTTTTTTTTTAAAAATTTTGTAATTACATATTACATATTTATTTGTGATTGAACCATATTAACATAAAATAGGGGTCGCATACTCACCTGTAAGTAAGTAGATATTGTTCCAAGAAAAAACACTTTTCAGTCAATTACCAATCACCAACTTTCTGAAAAAATAATAATAGTAATAATAATAACAATATAATTTGCCTCCCACCAGAAAAATAATCCTAAAATTTGGAAAAAAAAAAAAAAAAAATCACTTTTATGGGTCTGCCTTGTTCAAAGGCAAGAAATGCCATGGAAAATTAATACTTGTGTAATTCTGCAAAAAAAAATGGAAAAGAAAAAAAAGTAAAAATGGGTTGTCAGCTCAGCTACAAATTTGCTAAAAAATGAAGTAAAAAAAATAAAATAAAATAATTACAACGACACATCTAAAATTTAACATTAATTTGACATAACATAATAGTTCTGAATTAACATTATTAACCTTTAATACATTTAATTACCAATTTATTTTATACAATTATTTTTTTATTATCCAAAATACCCTACCATAGTCACCACCGTAACTATCACCCACCAGGCCACCACCAATACTGCCCACCCCTTCTTTCTCTCTCTCCACCCATCACTCCAACCTCTGCCACCACAACCAAAACCCATCAATTGAACACATGAAAAACCCAGAAAACCCAGCCAATTAAACCCATGAAAAACCAAAACCCAGCCAATTGAACTCACGAAAAATCTACAAAAAAAAATCCCAATTGCACAGACACAGATTTTCTAATTTCTCCATCAAAACAAACACAAACAATTGAAATCATCACCACCACAACCACATCTCTAAACGCAAACGAGCCGCCGCCGCCGACGAAGAGGACGACGACGACGACGACGACGACGACGACGACGAAGACGACTCAACCTTCCTCCAGCTGCCACCACCACTCGACGCCCTAAATAGCGGCGTCGACCTCTCCCTCATCAAAGCTGCCAAACAGATCCGAAAACGTCGTCGATTCTTGGTCTCTTGCACCATGATACCATTGACCGTCGGATTGCTCCACCTCTTACCACCACTCCCAACCACGACCACCACTACTCATCACCCCCAAGAATAATATTGAAAAAGTTGCAAGTGATGTAGCAGAGTTGCTCGGGAGCATAATCTGTGCAGTTCATCAACATGTCTATGAACAAATTGAAGCTAGAACACAAGTGTATGTATATATATATATATAGAAGAAATGAAAAACCAAGCAAGCAGTATTATTTGCTTATATTCTCTCTCTAATATGAAGATGGGTTCTAGCTAAACTATATATAATGACAACAGTACTAAACATGTGCGTGTATGTATAAATTAAGGATCTATAAATATAGGTAGAGAGAGAAAGTTTAAAGAGAGAGAAAGAGGGGCAAAAAAACAAAGAAAGAAGATGAGCGATAGGATCCAAACTGGTAATCAGAGCTGGGTAGGGAAGTCAATAATAAAAATTAAAGTGGGTTCAGTAGGGCCCACGACAGGCAGGAGGTTGGGGAATTGGGAGTGGTAGCGTAGTGGGGGCGGCGTCGATGAGGCGGCGACGGCTGGTGCTCTCTCTTCCCTGCTCTTCCATATATATATATATATATATATAAAAGGGTAATAGTGTATATATAAGGGTAAATTTAATTTTTGTTTTTTTGGACAAAAGGTTCAAAAATGAGCAAAGGTATTCCTTTACGTGAAAAATTGAACAAATTACCTTTGACCATTTTTGAAACTTTTTTAACTACATAATTTAATAAATTGGATCAATCTACTTAAGAATAATTTATGCATAAAAAAAAAAATTTATATTGATTACTTTATTTATTTATTTATTATTATTTATTTTATAAATGTCTCAACTTCTTAAAAATATTGAAGTCTAAAATAATTTTTTAATTTAATACATATATTTTAAATAAATTATATTTTGTTATTACTTTTTTTCTTTTTCTTTTTTATTTTTAAATTAAGATGTTTAATTTTTTCATCTAAAAAAATTAAACCAATCTCTTTTCCTTAAAAATAAAAACTATGTTAACAGTATAACTTTATGTATCTTAAATTATATATCAAATATTATGCATTTCTCAATATAAAAGAAAATAGGTACCTCTATAACTTTATGCATACCTTTTGTTTTTGTTTTTTTTTTGTTTTTCCCTTATTTTTTTATTATTATTTTTTATTATTTTTCCCTTTTTTTTATTATTATTATCTTTTTCCTTTTTTTTTTTTTTCCCTTTGTTTTATTATTATTTTTTCTCTTCTATGTTGAGAAATACATAATATTTGATATATAATTTAAGATGCATAAAATTATACTGGTATCATATTTTTTATTCTTAAAAAAAAGAGATTGGTTTAATTTTATTAGATGAAAGATTTAAGCATCTTAATTTAAAAATAAAAAAAAAAAAGAAAAGAAGTAATAACAAAGTATAATTTATTTGAAATATATGTATTGAATCAAATAATTATTTTAGACGTCTAAATTTTTAAGAAAATAAAAAAAAAAGAAAAGAAAAAGTGAACAATATAAAATTTTTTCTTTTTTGGTTACTTTTTTTTTATATACATAAATTGTTTGTAAGGGTAAATTGGTCTAATTTATTAAATTATAAAGTTAAAAAAGCCTCCTAAACGGTTAAAGGGTAATTTGATTATGTAAATGAGTGTCTTTATTCATTTTTTAACTTTCGGGCTATCTTTGTCCAAAAAATAGATAAATTTAATCCGAATGTCTTTTTATCAAATCTCAGGTCACTATACTCTACCCTAAAAGTAAATCAAATATTAAAGGATAATTTCGTTTTGTAAACATTTTCAGGACTCATTTGAATCAAAATTACCACTGTCTATGTAAAAAAAAAAAATAATAAAAAAAAAAAATACAAAAACAAAAAAAAGCTAAGTTGTATATGGGTATATGTTAAACCTCACAGGTGTCCTCGCACTCAGCTCAAGTACAGAGTCCAAGTTATAACTGTGTGGCTTTGTACACAGTAGTACAGTACAGCAGTTTTGATTGACAAAATTGATGTGAACTTCAGGAAGGCCACACCACAAACAAGCCTCTATCTCTGTCTCTCTCAAAATCCCACTTTTCGATCCTTTACCCTATCGTCCACCTCTTTCTTTCTCTCTATATATGTACACCCGCCTCTATATATCTTTAACAATACTTGTCATAAATCAGAAGAAATGGAGTCAAGCCGTCAAAAGGTTGTGATTTCGTTGGAGGATAGTGACGATGAAGTTGTGATTTTGGTGGATGATACTAGAGTTGTGATTTCATTGGATGACAGTGAAGATGAGGTTCAGATCTGCGAACCCTTTGAGACGAAGAAGAGAAAGCTCGATGAATCAGCCGTGGGTAAAACTCGGCGACAGAGAGAGTACGACATGCTTGCGGATTTGACTGACTACCCACACCTCGCTGCAATGTTCGCAGCTGAGAAAATCTGGAGACAGAATAAAAAGAAAAAGAATAAAAAGAAGAGAAACAAGAAGCAAATGGTTGGATTCGAAGCACAAAACCAGAAGGTATTTCGTTTACGTATATGTATGTGCTTGTATTTGCACGCGCGCGCGCACACTTATATGTGCCTCCATAGTTGCCGAACTATGAATTTCGAATTTCATGGTCAAATTCTTCTATAATATTCACGTTTTTGATGTCCTTTTTTCTTCAATCTATGTAATTAATATGCTTAGAATTTTCTTTGATTTTTTTATTATTAATTTTGATTCAACAATATTTCCTTTTAGGTATCGTTTGGTTGCATTTTTTGGAAGTGTTTGTTTGCCTATATGCTGCAAAAGGGAAAAAGAAAGGAGTAAATGTATAATTAAATAATATTTTCAATTTTTTTTTTTGATGATAGTAATCATTAAATCAAAATCTGTATTAGTGATTCTTCTCAGGGGGAGATAATGAATTAAAAGAAGGCCTATCAACTAATGATTTTACAATTAGTTTTAAAAGATAGATATGGAACATATTTTTAGTTTTTACTTTTTGATGTTAAGCGTACCTCAAAGAAAATTTGAACAAAATTTAAGAATAAAATTACATATGAAATTGATTACACCTTTACCCAGACCCATCTTTTTCTACCCTGCAGGTAACTCGGTGTAGTTTAACTTAAAAAAATTTGCTATTGGATTTCTACAACCAAAAAATTAATGAAAATGGAATAACACAGCCAGTCAATTCACTTGGTTGAATTTGATAGTTTATTACATTTTCATCTGCCTTACTGTTACAAGTGAAACTTGTCCCACATCGGATTTGGATTGGGGGTTGAAGTGTGTATTAATGGGTAGGCATGCAGTACTATCCAACAGTTCGAGCTTTTGGGTAAATGGACAAGCGCCCACCTGTTACAGTTGGTATCAGAGCCAGACTCAGTCCTTAATCCGGTGTCACGCCAAGCGTCCGGCCCGGAGGGCGTCCGAGTCTGTCCTTGGGTAGACAGGGTGGTCCAACCGCAACGAGGGCGTTGCTCTGGATTTGGATGGTACTCACGGATCAAACCCAAACTCCACCAATTTGCCTCCGTATTTACTTACCCACACTCATTGCGGTGCTAGCTCATAGCCATGGATTTATCAAGTCCACTGAAAATCTGTCCAGCAATGACCAGAAACTTTTCTATCCAAGAAAAAGGAATTCTCTGTACTAGGAAAAAATGTAGGAGTAAAATAAACTTGTTTGTAGACAAATTGAGGAAGTAATAAGTACAAGAGGGACAAAGAAGTGTCATATTTTTCCGCAGTGGAGTTTGAAGTTCTGACTCATAAAATTTTAAAAATTTGCCAGCAGGAAATATAATTTTATTGTATATAAAACCATCACAGTGTCTATCAAATTACTGCTTTCTTTAGATTTTGATTAATATTGTCATTTTTAAATTATTGTAGTTAAGTTATTATTATTAATAATTTTGCTGGACATGGAGTTAAGATATTTGGAGAAGATTCAGGTTGCTGACTATTATAATTATCATTTTCCACATTTGTGCATTTCTTTAGGCTGATGCCACAGAGGAAGAAAATCAGGCACTTTCTTCTGAAGCTGTAAAAACAATAGCATTTAAGGCTTGTGATGAAGCAAGGTCTGCAGAGGTAACTGATCTCTCTTCCTTGTCTCCCGAGAAAGATGAAGTAATTGCAAATCTGGGCAGCTCAGATGCACTCAGAGAAATGGTTCCGACAAAGGCGATTGTAAGTGAAGAGTTGACAAGGATCAAAGCACAAGAGACCGATGTAATTTATTTATTTACTTTGTTGTTGAAGAGAGGAGAGAGGAGAGGGGTTGGGGTTGATTGGTCCACTTTTCTGATTTGGCTTCTCTTTATTTGTTTTTTACCTTTTACTTCTGGGTCTTATGGTGCATAAGGATACTGTCTTAAAATATTGTTTCGTTTTCAGTAAATTTCAGTTGTTGCATCAAAGATATTTTTTTCTAAGTTAAAGAAATTTTGTGCTTCCATTTTCTTAGTTGAATTTCATACCTATATCTTTTTTTTGCTGGACATGAAGTTAGGATAATTGGAGAAGATTCAGCTTGCTGGCTATTAGAATTGTAATTTTCCACATTTGGGCATTTCTTTAGGCTGATGCTACAGAAGAAGAAAATCAGGCACACTCTTCTGAAGCTGTAAAAACAATAGCATTTAAGGTTTATGATGAAGCAAAGTCCGCAGAGGTAACTGATATCTCTTCCTTGTCTCCCGAAAAAGATGAAGCAGCGACAAATCTGGGCAGCTCAGATGCACTCGGAGAAATGGTGCCGACAAAGGTGATGGTACGTGAAGAGTTGACAACGATCAAAACACAAGAGACTGATGTAAGTTATTTATTTATTTTGTGGGGGTTTCTGATTATTGTATCTGAAGTTGATCGGTCCACTTTTCTGATTTGACTTCTCTTTATTTGTTTTCTACCTTTCACTTCTGGGTCTTATGGTGCTTAAGAACTGTCTTAAAAATATTGTTCTGTTTTCAGTAAATTTCAGTTGTTGCATGAAAACTAATTAATATAGTTCAGATATTTTTCAACTTTAGGAAATTTTGTGTTTCCATTTTCTTAGTTGAATTTCTTACCTAAACATTTTTTTTTTGCTGGACATGAAGTTGAGATATTTGGAGAAGATTCAGCTTGCTGCCTATTAGAATTATCATTTTCCACATTTGTGCATTTCTTTAGGCTGATGCTACAGAGGAAGAAAATCAGGCACACTCTTCTGAAGCAGTAAAAACAATAGTAGCATTTAAGGCTTTTGATGAAGCAAAGTCTGCAGAGGTAACTGATCTCTCTTCCTTGTCACCCGAAAAAGATGAAGTAACTACAAATCTGGGCAGCTCAGATGGACTCAGAAAAATGGTGCCGACAAAGGTGATTGTAAGTGAAGAGCTGACAAGGATCAAAGCACAAGAGAGTGATGTAAGTTAAATAATAAAATGCATCTACCTCCCTTATAGTTAGGGTTTATTACACTTACCTCCCCTATGTTTTGGATAATTACAGTTACATCACTTCTAGTTACATGTGTAACAAACCGACTCCTAATTAACAGTCAGAGATGGTCAATGCTGTGCGACAAGTTTTTTTTGCTTCATACGACAAATATGCCTTTCAAATTGCTGTGAAAACACTTTTGTCCAATACTTGTGTGAAAAGACAACTATACCCCTAACTAAAGAAAATTAGATTGGCGGAAATGCGGGTGTAATTGTCTTTTCGCACAAGGAGCATTGGACAAAAATGTCTTCACAACAATTTAAAGAGCATATTTGTCATATGAAGCTACAAACTTGCCACATAAGCATTGACTGTCTCTGATTGTTAGTGAAACTGACGGCAAGGGTCGGTTTGTTACACACATGTAACTAGAAGGGAGGTAACTGTAATTATTCAAAACACATGGGAGGTTAAGTGTAATATAAACCCTAACTAGAGGGGAGGTAAGTGTAATTTACCCTTTACTTATCTGATTTGACTTCTCTTTATTTGTTTTCTACCTTGTACCTCTGTGTCTTATGGTGAATAAGAATACTTTATTAAAATATTGTTCCATTTTCAGTAAATTTCAGTTGTTGCATCAACACTATATTTTAAGTTAAGGAAATTTTGAGTTTAGGTCCCATTTTCTTAGTTGAATTTTATACTTAAAAACTTTTTTTTTTTTTTTTTTTGCTTGACATGAAGTTAAGATATTTGGGGAAGATTTAGCTTGCTGCCTATTAGAATTGTCATTTTCCACATTTGTGCATTTCTTTAGGCTGATGCTACAAAGGAAGAAAATCAGGCACACTCTTACGAAGCTGTAAAAACAATAGCATTTAAGGCTTGTGATGGTGCAAGGTCTGCAGGGGTAACTGTTCTCTCTTCCTTGTCTCTTGAAAATGATGAAATAACTACAAATCTGGGCAGCTTAGATGGACTTGGAGAAACGGTGCTGACAAAGGCGATTGTAAGTGAAGAGTTGACAAGGATCAAAGCACAAGAGGGTGGTGTAAGTTGTTTATTTTAGTTTTTTTTTTTTTTTTGGTCTTTGGAAGGGTGGATGTGGGGTGACTGGTGCATAAGAGTGCTGTCTTAAAAATATTGTTATGTTTTCAGTAAATTTCAGTTGTTGCATCAAAACTAATATAGTTCAGATATTTTTCAAGTTGAGGACAATTTGTGTTTACCTTCGATTTTATTAGTTGAATTTTATACTTAAACTAGGAATGGGTGTAACTGTCTAAGAAGTTCAATAAAGTTCTCGCACTGTGTTATACTTTTTTCTAGGTGGTATTGTAGCAGGTGGATGGTTCTAAATTGAACTCTCTTCAACTATTTCACTATTCCTATGACAATAAGCAGTCTTTTGCAACCTATTTGGCATATATGTGTATATGCCATACACCTGCAATAAAATAAAATATATAGACACTACCAACTTACAATGTGTTATTTCCATAGACAGAGTCATAGAGTCAAGATAATCATGTGAGAGCTAAAATTAAACCATATCAATAGATATTAGTTCAAATGGAATGATCTTTCCTCCTTAAGGGAGAGTTGAATGTTCCAGCCTTATTAGGAGCAATATTGTGGGTTATAAAATTAAGAGTAAGAGATTTGATTTGATTATTTTAGACATTTGGGTTAATCAGACAAGTATATTAATTCAATTGATTTCAAGTTAGGAAACCTTATAGTTAGTTTCCATCTTTCCTTAATTGGTATTTTCTATATAAAACCTTCCAAGTATTCTCAACAAAATTCCTGGTGTTTTCGCCATGTTTATTTATGTTGTGTATCTTAATGATCACTTTTATTTTCTTGAGCTATATGCTAAGAAGCACGGACACTTCTAAGAGGTGCTATGTCCGCGTCTGACACCGACTCTCCATGGACACTCCTAGATACGTGTCCAACATTTCATGGCCGTGTCCATTATTTAATTTATTTTTGATTTATTATTTTGAACACTTGGCCTACACATCTCGGACACTTGGTCAACACATTCCGGACACACAACCAACACATCCTACACTCTTCGTTTTATACAAAACAAACGCATAACAGTCCTGCAAACAACATTATGAACATGCATCAAAGTGTTCAATCTCTAAGGAACAAAAACGCAACTATAATGGTAAGATAGGATGGTAATGTCATATATAATATAACATTCTTTTTGAGATCCGAATAACGTCATCTTCTAACTTATGTAACTTTAGTGTAGAATTTATAAATTAATTAAAGTTCTATAATTGCCTCATTCAATGGATATATAAATGAAAATTGATATTTATATTAGTTGTGTCCATGCCGTGCATGTGTCCTACTTTTTAAAAATTTGATGTGTCAGTGTATCCTCGTATCGTATCCGTGTCCTGTGTCCATATCCATGCTTCTTAGGCTATATTTTAGTGTTTAGCAATCTCTGATATGCTTCTTAGGCTATATTTTTTTAATTTCATGTGCCCTTGAATTCTCTTGCTCTAATTCTCTTTTCATTGTGTTAGCTGTTGCATCAAAACTAATATATATCTTAAGGGAATTAGGAGTTCGAGCTTGCAATGGCTTCAAATGACCCTTTTAACATTTTTCTTGCCCTAGGTTGAAATTGCTGATGAAGAGAAGCAGGTAGACTCAAGTAAAGATGAAGAAACAAAATCAGTTGAGACAACTGAAAATATTGTGCTACGGAACCTTCTTGTGAGTAGAGACTTTTGGAGCTAATTACAAATTTAGGAAGTCGTAAGTCATAATAAGAACTGATTTCATGGGAATTAATTATTCGTAATTATTGTATTAGCGTGGTCCAAGATACTTTGATCATCCGGAAAGCAGCAGGGGAACATGTTTCAGTTGTGGTGCAGATGATCATATAGCTGTGAACTGCATAGTGAAAAAGCAGAAGAAACCTTGCTTTATTTGTGGGGGTTTGGAGCACATTGCGAAGCAATGCAAACAGGTTTTCTAATATTTTACTAGATTATTCTGCTTGTCCCAGAAATCTTTTGTTGTCCGGATCCAACTTAATATGTTATTCTTTTTGGACCTTTATTTGGTTATGTTTTTTTGCTGCATGGATTTTTTCTAGAGTAAATATCATTTAGATATATTGTTAAAAAAAATCCATTTTTTTTTCCTATTCAATAAATAATTCCTTTAATAATTTTAACTATAGCAGATGCGTAATACACATTGACTAGTTAATAATACTCAGTCAAACGCCTTTCAAGGTGAATCTCTTAAACCTGATAATCATAAACAGTAATATATGAGGGTTGATCATTAGAAACTTGAATGTCTGATTGAGGAGGCATAAACATTATTTTTCTCTATCCAAAACATTCCTAATGGAACTTGGTAATAAATAAATATGCTGGCAGAATGAAGCTCATTATAGCGATCTACTTTACATGAGTGTGGGATTGATTGTGGTCCTCTTGATATCCGTGCAGAGAAAGGCTTGCACTATCTGTGGTGGAAGAGGCCACATCAACAAGGATTGTACGGAGAAACACCCAGCAACCAGTGGAAGCTCTAAATTCTGTTTAAGATGTGGGGATTCAGGGCATGATATGTTCTTGTGTAATAATGACTATTCCCCAGAAGATATCAAGGTATTAAATTTTGCAGAACATTTCGTGTATTATGTACTTTAAGTGCTGATAACGTAATTAGGGGATTCTGTTGTGTTGAATTCATTAATGACGGTACACGACAAGTTTCTTGTTACAATTGTGGGCAGTCTGGTTATTTGGGTTCTCTAAGTCACTTATGCTCTTTTCACGTGGACAGAAAATACAGTGTTATGTTTGCAAGGCTCTCGGCCATCTCTGTTGTGCTGAATTCATTAATGAGGGTCCAAAACAAGTTTCTTGTTACAATTGTGGGCAGTCTGGTCATTTGGGTTCTGTAAGTCGCACATTCTATCTGTTTACTGTATATGTAACAGTTTGTTAGAGCACAATTATTGTGGATAGATATCCACTGTTCTTATGGAGTTCCTGTCTTTGAAGGGATGCCCACGGTCTATTTTTCGATGCTTCAGGTGTGGAGAGGAAGGTCATTATGCCCGAAATTGCACGAATATTGCCACGGTTCGTTTCATCAGATAATTAGCAGGCTTTCTAAATTATATTGAGTTTGAATAGGAGATCCTTCTCCATCTGCGTATGTATGTGGGTGGACTTCCTTGGTCTTTTGCTTATTATATGACAGTTTGTGTTTTGTTGATATTGTTTTTTCAGGCTAAACTGGGAACAGCTGATTTAGCAACCTCTGAGAGGTTTCCCAAGGAAAAGAAAGGTACCATAGGATTAGGATATTCGACTAGTGAACTTGGATCTCATAAACTGGAATACAAGAAAAGTACGAGTGTGGGTCAGTCTAGGTGGATGCACGGGGGGAATACCATCCGACCACAAAACCTCTTTAATGGAGAAGCCAGAGCAAATGTTTGGTTGTCACCTGCAATATCTGCCAAAATGAGTCAAGAGATGCCTGCCTTTTCGGGATTTCGCCAAGTTTCAGGTCCTCAATATCCTCAACACCAAGTTTCAGGTCCTCAACACCAAGCATCAGGTCCTCAATATCCTCAACACCAAGTTTCAGGTCCTCAACACCAAGCATCAGGTCCTCAACATCCCCAGCACCTAGTTTCAGGTCCTCAACATCCCCAGCACCAAGTATCAGGTCCTCAGCATCCCCAACACCAAGTTTCAGGTCATCAACAAAATGGATTTCTCCAAGTTTCAGGCCCTCAATATCCTCAACAAAATTTCAACCGTTACGCTGGGTCTCAGTGTTCACAGGCTTACCAGACATATCCTGTGTCGAGGCATGATGGTTCTTGAAGTGAAGGACAAACTACTTATGTTATGTTTGGATCACCGAATCGGTGTCTTGGATTTGGAATTGGAATAAGTTTAGTTGAAAATTTGTACTAAATTTTCTCCAATTCCAAATTTAAGGTGTCGATTCGGTGCCGCCAAACATATCATTAGGGTTCTTTTCTATTTATGCAATCTCTCTATTAGAAATAAAATTTCAAAATTACAGTATTCCTCATAATAGGAAATTTCTAGTGTTGTAACTTTTGTAAAATAACCTGTCTTTAGCTGGTTGATTTTATTCTGGTTTTCTCTGTAGCCTGTAATACTCTATTATATGTCGTTCAATATGTCACGCTTGGGAAAGAAAGGATTGAAGAAGGGATTTTGTAAGCCATTGGTGATTATGAAATGCTCCATCTCCGATTATCTATTTGATTTTGCATTTAGATTAAAAAATTACTATGGCATTAAAACCTTAACTGATGAAAGAAGTGGCTGCCTTCCCGTGCTCTTACGTTGAGGCAACCGGACATCGTTAAGTTATTTGAAGATTTAATGAGAGCTGCATTGAATAGGGGAGGTGATATTTGCATTCTATTTTTTTTTTTTTTTTTAACAATTGTACTCCATTATTATTATTTATTTTTATTTATTTTTAAAAAAAAAAGAAAAAGATGAGAATATTTCAATTCATTCGTTCATCATCTATTATTTTATAATATCATAATTATCCTTGATATAATAACTTTATCTTTACTTTCTTTTATTTTATAATATCATAATTACCCTTAATATAATAACTTTATATTTACTTTCTTTGGTTTTTTTAGAGAGAATTAATTAACGGGACAATTGTTGTTATTATTTTCTTAGTTGGTACTCCCGCACACACGTTTCTACTAAGACTCGAATCCTGACCTCCATTTGGAAAGTAAGGACTCAAATAGCTGATCTTCCTTTAAGAAGTAGGTCACTAGCCTGTTGGTCAATTATTATTTTTGGTTCTATCAAAAGAGAAATTATTTAATTGATATAATTTTTTTGGGACTTCTTCTTCTTCTTCTTCTTTTATTTATTTTATTTTATTTTATTTTTTTAAATAGAGAATTTATTCAGCTTAAAATACCTTTTGTTTGGTACCTTTAGTCCAATCAAAATAGAGATATTATTCGGCTAAAAATACCTTTTGTTTGGTACCTTTTTATATGAATTCAACTTTTCTCTTTGGGGCTTTTTTTTTTTGAGTTCCGTCAAAAGAGATGAAAATATTTATATTGGTGAGTCTAATTTATATCTTCTAGTCTCCCAAAATTTGTTTGCCTAATTTTCTTTCGGTTAATTAGCGAACCTGAAAAAAAACCCTCTCTTTGGTCTCCAACCATTCCTGCTCTCTAACCTCAATATTTAATTTCATCTGAAGATGCAAAATCTATTCATTCCATTACGAGAAGACATGGAGTTTACTACTTAAAACTGTTATCATATAACGAATTTACAAAAGATCATTGAAACAAAAAAGGAACCTTGAACAATTAGGTTCAAGTGTATTTGAAATAATTTCCTAATGGTGTCATTATGCCACATTGTAAAAATTTAGAACATCATAACATAAAAGTAACAGCAGAACACATCATAGCACAAAATTGAGCTCTAAATTTGGTCTGAAAGTGGAACTAGAAATCTATCGCCTTAAATTGTCCATCAAAATACATAAAGACATCAATCAAGTTGGGTAGCAACGAAGTTCCAAACTGCCAATGCATCTTCAAGTTCAATAACCAATACATAAAGTTTTCAAGATAACAATTTACCCATCAAGTTGAATTTCAGTTACACTATCTCCTTTCCTTCTGAGAAAAGTTTGTATGATTGTGTACACATCAAAATATCTCCCCACTCCTCCTTTCTCATACACCACCACCCCCTCTCTAAAATAGGATATAAAAAAAAGAAAAAAGAAAGAAAAATGCCTGTCAGAAAATATAATATCCAGAAGAGAACTCTTTGTTCATGGGAGGTCTTCATGAAGTCCAAGTACGAGCAGTCTATTACGATTTACCCTGCTTACTGTCAGATAAAATAATCAGTCAGTGAGAATTCAGTCACCAGGACTACTGAATCATGACCCCTCTATATATACACACACATATATATTTATAAGTAATCATGAGCCTCAAATATATACCTGTTGGCTCATAAGAATTTCCACTGCTACATTTAAATCCCCATCAGCAGCTGCCACTGCAACTTCAACCTGTGTCTGAAACAATCCAAAGGCACTCACACTCAAAATCCCCCATTTCACTTTGATACATGCACATTGAAGTAAACATCAAGAATGAATACATATTTTCAGCTATATGATCACACCCATTTTTCTTTGGATAAGTTGTTTTCAGCTATGATCCTAAATCTCACTCAAAAGAATGTGGTAACATATTTTTCGATCTTCAAAAATCCCTTGGGTCGTCCAAGTATAACGCGAAAAGGAAACCAATAAATTAAAACAAAACCATGTAGGTATGCAAGATATAGGCAATGATTTTACCTTTTCAAAACCCATTGCTACAAGCTTTTGGATATCTTCATCAGACACAACTGAGCCCTAAAGTCAGCAGCCAAGTAAAACAAAAATGTTTGAGAACCAGAAAGACAAAAAGGAGGCAAGAGCCCAACTCTTATATCGAAAAAACTAACCTGATGGCTTGGAAGGCCACCGGCAGTAGTTAAACCATCTACCACTGCCTGCCTGAAAAGTCAAACAATGAAAGACCACATTTAGATTGGAAAAAAGTGATACCTATCATTCATGGTCCACTTCACTGCAACAATCTAGGATTATCTATTGTAAATCTGGCAAAGCCCACTTGTTCACGCAACAGATTCTAGATCTATTCAAATCACTAGATAATTTTCCAATCATATTTCAGAGGCAACAGTGGTCATTTTGATCTAAAATGTATTTTCTGATAATTTTCCTCGTGATATTTTGTTTTCTGTAAGCTAGAGAAAGGGAGGACAACTCAGCTGCATATTTCACAACAAATTCCCTCTGAATGTCCAACCCAGTAAATATGTACTTTTTTGAACTTACATGAAGAGAAACATTTTTTTTAACCAAATAAAAACATATTCAAACAACATTAAAAGGCACATGTTCAACTCTAAGGGATCATAATCCAATTAATCTCTTTATAAACTTGGCAAGATTTCTCAAGAAGTAGAACAGAATCACAAATTAAAACCAAACTCGAAGCTTCAATTCATATCAAATCTAATTTATCATCCAATCAATGATCTTTATAAACTATGAGAACCAGTTAGTTCACTAAGATGCACCAATGGACTTTTCATAATACCTTCCATCTAAAATCTGCTGTCCTGCACTAATTGCTGCTGGACCTGATGGATGATTAGGGCTGCTGCTATTATCCAAGAGTCTTGCCTGCAGGCTTGAATCAGAACTTAAGGTAGAAACTGTTTGACTTCGACCAGAACCAAGAGACCTTCCCCTCCCAGGGAATCTACTGTCTTGGGCTGTCTGCATATTGAAATGACAACTTATGAGAAGACCAAAAGGAGGGGGAGACACACACACAAAAAAAAAAAGATGTACCAGAAAACATTTGAGGCTACAGGATTTGTGCTTAGGGATTATGATGGTATAATTCCATATCAGTACAAAATGAGGATGCGTGCACTGTTAGACTTACTGTTTGGACCAACACCAAGATTGATTTCAAGTATTCACGGTATCAGAACTTCGGTAGAATAATTGTTAAGATTACATATTACATGAACTAGTACATAGCTACAAATAAATTAACATTTCAATGATATCTTTTTGTTTTTTTTTTTTTTTTTTTTTTGATAAGTAACATTTTAATGATGTCTTTTAGAATAAGAAAAAGAGTGGATCAAACGAGGGGGAGACTACCAAATCACAAGGTTTATATACATGGTGTGTGTGTACGACACATTTGTCCAGATCTACAATTTATTAACGCCAAGCTCACAAGGTCCATATACATAAGCTAACACATTTGTCCATGTCTGCAAAGTTACAAATTCCAAGCTAACAAATTTGTCAACATCATCAAGAGTCAAGATCAACAATTTATGACATATATGTAAAGAAACATGCAACAAACGACACATTCACAATATCACTTTTTCTTGACAATCTTGAGAAAGCTAGCTCAAGTACTGAGTTGAAATTGTGTAATCATAATATCACAAGTCGCTCTTTCTTGTGAAAACTTGGACATATTTGTTTTTTGTAAGCTGTCATGGATTTTACACCAATGATCAATTCAGTGCAATTAAATAAAATTGTATTTTAAATATAAATTCCTTACAATTAAAAAACACTTATACGGTTATACTGAAGTTCCAAGTGCGCAACCTAAAAATGAGCATTTGACAATAAATAGCCATATAATTATTAATATGATGGAATTTTGAACTATTTTTACTTTTAAGCTACCATGGAATTCTGAATTTTATTGATCAACACAGTGGAATTATGTCTTAGTTTCAAACTTTCAATAGCGGCGGGACCAACTGTTCTGACCCTCAACCTGATCACTTTTTTAGATTAAAAGACCGACGATGATAAATGCTATAGGAGAGACACTACTCTGAACTCTATAGATAGCCGGTGCTAAATAATTCCAGCGTATGCTTGCTGCCTGATTTCATTTACTTCGGTCACCATAATGAAAACCAAGTAACAAGGCCTTAAGAGTATCCATTTTCTTCTCTTGTTCAAATTTTGCAACTCCAAGTTAATATGAGGGGCCAAACCCTTCTTGAACCACACTATCTATGTTTCATATCAAAATTAAAATGGTCAGAAATGTAAAAGGTCCAGCTTATCCGTGTGTTAGAAGCATCCATAATTAGCAAAAGTCAACTGGCAAATGTAGAAGAACAGAGAACATCAACTAAAACAACAGGTTGTCCTATTAAAGAAGTAAGAATTATATAGCAAAGCCCAAGGGGTTGGCCTAGTTGGAAATGACTTGGACCCTGGTGCCTCATGAAGCATCAGGTCTCAGGATTGATTCCTGCTACGTGCAAACAATTCCTTGGGAAGGAGGGGGGGTGGTAACCAACTAGAAAAAAAAAGAAAGAAAGAATTATATAGCAGCATTATTGAACCAGGGGGAAAAAAAGTCCCAAAAACAAGATGAAGTACTGCAGCAAGAGTAAAAAAGAATGCAGCACTGCTTCCAACACATACAGGCACATACTCAATTAAACCTATGATTTATGTATAAAAACTTACAGGCACATACTCAATTAAACTTATGAATTATGTATAAAAATTTACGCCACACACAAATATACATCTAAGACAGCCATTTTCAACATTGCTGAGAATATTCTCAATACCTGAGCAGATGTTTCCCTTTCTGGCATCCACGAAGAAAGATTTCTCCACATATTTCCGGAAAGCAACCCACTGTTATAAAATATCAAATTAGAAGTTATGTAAAGGGACTAAGTAAAACCAAAATTGCAGACTCTACCTGGATGTTGTATTTTGACTTGAATATGTGGGGATATAGCCTGAAGAATTTCCGCCAGTGCACAATATAAATTTTGGTCGCCTCACACAAGTTGCCTGAAAATCAAACCCAAAAAGCTCATACTGATGCATGCTTATATATCATTAATGTTCACATGAAAAACAACACATTATTCAATTCATACATGTACTTATTTTCCATGTAATACAATTTTTTTATGCAGTTATAAGACATCTTTAAGTAGGATAAACAGAAGATGAAATCAAAAATGTCATTTACTTAAAAATGCAACACAAGTTGAAAAGTACAAAATGTAAACTGTAGAACTATTAGCTATCAAGAGGGAGGCAGACCACACCCCAAGTGTTTGTCAAAGACACTCCAGGTGCTTGCCTAGGGACTCCAGCTAGGCAAGGCCCTGCCACTGCACTTTTGATACCCATGTGAAGTGTTTTTAGTGAGGTGCTAACCTATGATTCCTAGATGACCAATATTTGCTAACACAAAATGTCCAATCAGCACTTTTATCAAATACTTGCCTTTTCCCTTTGCTGATTAATTTTTCAAATCTAACTCTCTTAGTTCAGTTCTCTTTCAGGATACTTTTACAGTTTTCTTTACTACCTTAGAATTGCCAGCGACTTTGAAGGATATTGTACAGACAAAAGGAAAAAGTAACATGGAAAACAGAAGTAAAATTTTGAAGGATGTACCTACATGTTTTGTACACATACTGTACGCTAATTTACCAACAGCACTAAGAATTTAAGAAACACTCTAGCAGTAAGATGCATTCTATAATGTTTAACCATAGTGAAGTTAAAGAAATAAGTAGATCTGTTACATGCCTGTATGTGTCTCTTGGGAAATGAATCATCCCATTATGTTCAGCTCACATTTAAACGAGTTCATTGCTTTACATGTGAAGTACTATTAATAGGATTTAGAAAATTTTTGTCAGTGTAAATGTTTAATGTCTTTTTTGGTGATAGTTACATTACACCTTCAGATGCCACAAAAAACAAAATTGAAGGATCAAAGGCAGACAAATCAACAGACAGTTCAGATCGTATCCATTATGTAATTATCCTATTTCTATACAAAAGGTAGACACATACAATCTTCAGACAGAAAAGGAAGGGCAAAGCAGTTTGTAATTGAAAGCCAATGCTTTGCAGATACTTACAAGCCAAGAGAAGGATTCGATGGCTGAAAAGAAGGATGTTCCAGGTATTATAAGGTTGAATAACCCACTGGTATCTGATGGAAAAAAGAATGTATTGTGAGTATATCCAGTGACTTCCTAAATTATTATTGAAGAAGAAAGAAAGAAAAGGATTGTAGTTGGAAATGTAATTGTAGAAGAAAAGGATTGTAGTTATAAAAAAAAAGAAAAAGGATTGTAGTTGGAAATGTAATTGTAGATCTTGGGAGGAATGGAGATACACACATGCAAATCCTGATAAAATGCCACATAGATGTCCAAGTAGTGATACATTGGTCATAAGAAGCTGGAACACTACCAATAAGATCCATGCATACCTGACACAGATATTAAAATTGAAAGTTTTACATATAACATTTTAAAATGAAAAGAATGAGAAAATCAAGCAGATCACTCAGCACGTTCATTTACCATTTAGCAGGAACATTGAATAATCCGAACATACTGCAGGAAACAAAGACAACAATCAGTACTCAGTAGATGACCCCACTAGATTGGACGAGAAATAAAAGAACTGTTAATTGCTGTTAGATAATTAGATGCAAACTACAACAGTTTGTGATCACGGATCCACTCCATGAATGTGTGCGTGTAACCCATCAAGCATTTGCATGCGTACATTTATTCCACATATGGACAAACAATTGAGAAGGATTCACATAAAAAAAAAAAAAATCCTATCATGCAAGGTGACATTATTTAGAAGTCCACAGGGGAAACAAACCTTCTAGACTGAACTCCACTTAGACTCGTCTCTATGACGATCATAGAGAATAAAACTCCCGAGAAGCCTATGGCACACTCATCCATGAGATACTGATATTGGTGGAAGGGATTATGGGCAGCCAGTAGTGCTATTAGAAGATGAAATATTGCATTGCTTGTAGCCAATAGAATTATCATGTACAACAAGCGGACAGATCCCATAACTCTCTCCAGCTCAGAGCCCAAAGGAACCAAAGCCATCATATTGAATAGAACATGTAGCATAGAACCGTGAAAAAGAATAGAGGTGTAAAACCTGTGCACTGCAAAAAAAAAAAAAATAACTACAATCAAAACTCTAATAATAATATTTTATGGTGATTGAAATTAAGATGGATATCTTATTGAAGGCAAGAACGAAGTCAACTCTACAGTAATAAATATTTGATAGTTAATAGTTCAATACTCCTTCCGTCCCATGTTAGTAGTCCTTTTTCGTTTTATAACTTTTTAAGGGACATGCAATTAATGCATTGTAAAATTACCATGTTGTCCTTTCAAGTTTAAATATGTATGTTATCAAGTTGGAAGATTTTTGAAAACTTAAACTATAATTATGAGCAGATTGCTTTTATTTGTTTTGACTTTTCAAATGGGACAAGTATTTAGGGACAATCCAAAAAAGAAAGATAGACTGCTAATATGGGACACAGGGAGTAATTGATAATTGTTGCAGGAGCAAACTTGGTTCAATGAAAAATTGTTAAATAATTCTATAACCTAATAATTAATAATTTTTGGAAAAAAAAAAAAATTATTAGGATATAACAATATACACAAAATTGTATATATATTTTTACATACGATATGTCAAATATATTTGAGATACTGAGATACTATATTGACCAGTCACATCAATTAAACTCTAAAATTGAACTCCGAAGTCACATAAATGCATAAATAAACCCTTGAGCCAATGAATAATAACTAATTCAAAAGAAATTTGACTTTATGATAAAATGCTAATTCATCCTTAAGTCACGAGATTGTTCGTAAAATATAATTTGATAAAAAATTATTGTCACTAGAAGATGATGATGACATTGAAGAGGTTAAGGATATCAAGAATGAATCAATTGTGGAAGTAACGAGATTTATCTACGTAGTGCATCATTTTCTGTATGATAAAGCAATATATTATCACTTTTTCATAAATTATAATTTGTACATTTTAAACAATTAAAGGCAATACTAAGACCAAAACAAGTTTAACAGCCTCAATCTTTCTAACTTTAAGGAACAAAAGAAAAATGAAACTGAAAAGCAAACTTATGTAGTAAAATTTTCCATTCTTAAAAAAGGAATTTCCATACAACCAGAACCAGCCAGTGACTCAACCTGAATAACATGCATAATATAAATATATATGTATATATTAATTTTTGATCCAGAATTAGGATAATATATGAAAACTGGGTGACAGATCAAAATGACCAGCCATGTGATCAGAAATCTAATGCTGGAGACAGGACTGGACTGGTCCAAAGCCCACCGACTAAGTCGTACGCTTAAGATTTAGGCAGCCAAAGAGGTCAAAGCTGCAGCCTTAACCAAAGTCATGAGTCTGCAGGTTTAGGAAAAAGATCTTTTCTGGTAAGGAATCGAAAGGATATTTTACCTTAGAAATTATATGCCTTTCATCAAATAACTAAAATAAATCATATGCATTTAAAAAAAAAATTATAGCGACCAGTCCGGGAAAAAAAGTATATAGCGACCAGTCCGAAAAAAAAAAAGTCCTTTTTCATACATCTTCAGCCTGAGGTAATATCTAGCATGAGCCAATCTGCTTATATTTAACACTGCATTGTGCATGACCTGAGAATAGCCTAAACATTGTCTAGCACACAATCAGCCTTATCAGAACTGCACCAGTTTGAGTATTCGTTCAAACTTCAGATCCTCAATATTGATACTCAATTGAACTATGAAACTGCAATGGTTACTAATATAGATCTAATATTTCAGGCCTTCAATAAGGTGCTTGAAGGTTAAACTGAAATCAAAATGCTCGGGATATCATATATTGTACATGAATATCTATGTTACATAACAGTGTAGGAGAGATAACAAAGAACAGAAAAGACCAAAAAAAAAATTGTATGGATTGAGGAATCAAACCTCAGCCCCCAATAGATCACAAAGGCCACTGAAATCATACCTATGTTCTTTTAGGCAATCACAGCCAAAAGAAGACGTGTCAGACATCACAAGCAAAGTGGCCCAAGATAATTCCTCACTTATCTCAGCATTGATAAGAAAAAGCAATGAACGAGCGAAAGAATGCATTTTTAAAATAAAATATATTATTAGAAAGATAAAGTCATATACAAACTATTAATCTATAATTGTTTCACAATTCAGGAGTACCCATAATGTCATGGAATGAGGTTTCCCATAACTAAATTCTTACACCGCAATGATAAGATACACTGGATAATCTGTAACTAATGAATCACCCTAAGAGGATGTACCTTGAAACCTTGAAATAATTTCCGAGGGCAAGAAGCATACTTCAACAAAAGAATCGTATCCAAACAAAAGACAGACCAAGTAAATGGCTCCACAGACAATCACCACTGCTGAAGTAACAAATGGAATGCCTTCCCACCATTGGCCCACCCTGGTAGGCAATCCTGCCTATACACACCACAAGAATATAGTTTGTCAAAGAGAATATGGTTAAACCAAAGAATAAGGTAAAAACATAAATTCAACCTCTTTAATTCTAATGAATTTTTTGGTGTTCATAAATCATTTAAATCAAGACTAATCCCTAAAGAGTCACCCAACCACCTGAAAACCTTATAACTCCAATTATTTTTTTCCATTTTAGATTATGGAAAAAGAGAAAGCATTGATAGTTCAATACGGGCATTAATTAGGGAAAAAGAAATAGATGTACGTGTTCATCAAATGTATCCATTATTACCTTTTCTATTTGCTTGTTCATATCGTTTTATAATTTTCAATGATCAACAAAATGCACTCACTCAAACACCTGGAATATATCATCATCATCCTTGCCTTTATCCCATATGGATGGGGTCAGGCACATGAATTCTGTTTTCCATTTTTCCATTACCACGATTATATATTCTAGCAAACAATGGACACATATCATTATTTCCTTTTATTATGCATGGTTTAAAATACTAGTCACTACAAATTGTACTGTATTTAACTACTAATTACATCTTCCACCAACTGACTACTGAAGAGGAAAATGAGAAATAAATCAGATTGCCTCTTCAAAACCACTCAAAAACATAACCAACGAGCAAAATTTCTTTGTAGTCAAATTCATAGCACTTTCGACTCAAAAAACACTTCAAAAGAAACTTCAATTATCATCCACAGAAGGTAATCATCTTCTTTATACGCAGGGGTTCCTTGATATAGACAAAACATCAGACACCTAACGAAAGAAATAAAAATATGACAAAAAATCTAACATATGGCATAATTAGGGTTTCCCATTCATTCAAAACCACTAGTTTCTTCAACGTCGCCCAAGAAACAGGGGCACCGATATGATGCCGTAGAATGGTATTTATAGTGTATTACGCGCTGTTAATCTACTCAACAGTCTAATCGAAAATTCGAAGCATGAATTTGATTCAAGAAAAACCCTAAAACCCCATTGTTGTGTCGGATGCAAAACTGTGTATACAAAACACACTATACAACGTTCACATATGCATATATCACACAAACACACTTCGAAGCAAGAAATAAAGAAAGAATGAAGAATGACTGGTCTTTGTAGTTTTTACCTCAGAAACAACGTTTGATCTCATTTTTCTGCGTCTTCTACGTGGTGTACTTTGAACGTTTCTGAAATGAAACCAACACTGATCTCTGGAGTTCTCTGGATCTTCTTGATTCGAAATCGGATCAAAAGTTCGGGCGGGTGAAACTATTACGTGTAATCAGAACGCTAGCGGGTTCATAGGGGCGGGTCAGTGCATACGGACTCGCAAGTCAATATTGTTTTTTCCTTCCTTACTCGTTTCTCCTCAAGCTTGTTTACTTTTAAAAAAAAAAATAAAAATACCCGAAGCAAAAGGAGTGAAATGGAGACAATACTTTGACTAGTGAAGGTAAGAGAAACACAAGTATTTACTTGAGATAGAAAAAATTATAACACTTTCATTTTATATCTACGCTGACCTTTTCTCTCTTACTTACTACACTCTAAAAGGGAAACAAATGATATAATAGCTCAGTCTCACAGGTGATCCAACGATTATTATTTTTTTTTTTTGAGTGAATCTTAAATTTAAAAGTTTTTTTGAGTTGACTTGTTCTGAGATAACAAATTTTGTATTTTTTTTCGATAACTGCATATAGATTTTTAAAAATTTAGTTTAAAAAAAAAAATTCAGAGAACTCAAAATAGTTTGTTTTTTTTTTTTTTTTTTTTTTTTTTTTTTGAGTTTTTAGAACTGTCTTTTAAGTGAAAAAAAAAAAAAAAAAACAAGTGAAAAAAACTAAGTCTCTAATTATTACCTCAAAAACTCAAAACTTTAGGAAGAAAAAAAAGAAGAAGAAAAAAAAAAAAAGACAATAGATTGTTCAAAGAATAAAGTAGAAATAAGGAGGGAAAAAAAGAAAAGAAAGAAAGAGTAGAAATAAAGATTTAATAGAAAGCAAAATTCTTATCCCTGCATGGGAGAGATTTAATTTTTTAGGAAGGCCAGAGGATGTGTTAGAAAGGAATTTTTCCTTTTCACTGTTACCATTATGTTACGTTTGGTGTGCATGAATGGAATGAAATACCTATTCCAACCATTCATTTATTTGGTATGTAATTTAAAGTGGGAATGACCATTTCATTGGAATAAAAATTCATTCCATAACTAAACCTATGACATGACCATTTTACTTCCACGTAAATTTTTTTAAATAATCCACTTCCCAAAAAACCTCATGTTCCAATTTCAAAAACCACCACTTGTTTCAAGTCCAAAAACTATCACTACCTTCTACCACAACCACCTCCGCCTTTCACCACTACCACCACCGATTTCCACCACTACCACCCCCACCACCACCGTCACCGACTATCACCATCGCCCACCGCGTTCCATCACCACCGCTACCACCTCATTTTACCACCGACACTGCCTTCCTTTGCCGCAACCACCACCTTCCACCACTACCGCCTTTCACCACCACTACCGCCTTTCACCACCACCACCGCCACCACTACCACCGCCGCCGCCTTTCACCACCACCACCGTAGTTCTGAGATAACAAATTTTGTATTATTATTATTATTATTTTTTTCTGACTGCAGACATATTTTTAAAAATTTAGTTAAAAAAAAAAATGTTTTTAGAGAACTCAAAATAATTTTATTTTTTTTGAGTGAGTGAAAAAAAAAAAAAACAAGTGAAAAAAACTTAAGTCTCTAATTATTACCTCAAAAACTCAAAACTTTAGGATGAAAAAAATAAGACAATAGATTGTTTAAAGAATAAAGCAGAAATAAGGAGAAAAAAAGAGAGCAGAAATAAAGATTTAATAGAAAGCGAAATTCTTACCCTTGCATGAGAGAGATTTAATTTTTTAGGAAGGCCAGAGGATGTGTTAGAAATGAAATTTTCCTTTTTACGATTACCATTAAAGAAGGAGGAGATATGAGGAGACAATGAGGAAGAAACACTTAAATTTCACACAACATTTCTTCTTATTTTTTATTTATTTATTTAGGAATATTTCTGAAAATGTTAAATTATCAACCTCATTAAAGCATGTGATAGAAACGCGGGAAACCAATTTTCCCCCTTTTTAAAAAAAATATTATTTTTTGGTTATTTCATACTTTGCAACAGTGTTTTTTTACCATCCAAATTTTGCAATTCATTATGCTAAGCTTTCATCATCCTCTTCTCTTCACTGGTTTTCCTTTCCTACATTTCGTGACACTCAAAACACTATTGACACGTTGTAATTTTCTCAAAACATGGGGTTCGAATCAGATAGCCCAGCATCATATTTTTTATATTCAAAGCTGCTCGGAGTTTAGTATCTCTGGCTTCTCTATCATGTTCAAGGCCCTAAATTGTCAGGCAAAACAGAAAAATTTGTATCATGTGCATCAGAATGTTTCACAAGTCCAGAACTGCAAATCAAAACTTCAGCAAGGAAAAAGTGAGAAGAACAAAAAACCAAAACAATATGAAAAAGTAACTGCTCTTGGCACTTGAACATTCAAGATTAAAAAACATGCCTTCTAAGTTTAGGCTGTCAATTTCATTTAGGACAAGATTCCTCCATTTTTCCTTTAGAGAAAAGAAATCAAGCAAGAGTCTTAAGTGGCCCATGCACTGAATCTGTAGTTCAAAGTTCAACTGCATCAGATGATCTCAGCCATGGTGACAAGTTTTGGATCCAGGGCTCCTCTCGAACAAAATCTGCCAAGAAGAGTTGTGAAGCCTATAACAATTATAGCAAGCATTATCACTGGGAAGCCATTTTCTTTCAACGTGAAGTAGGAACAACAACAACCAAGCTTTTTCCCAACTACTTGGGGTCGGCTACTAACGGTAAGTAGGAATAAGTTAAATTGAGTTGGAAGTATAACATATAAAGAAAATCAGTCATAATAATTCTGACTTGCGTAGTTGAAATCGTGTGGAAAATGAAAGTATTTATTCCTCCCGTCCCCACCCTCCCAATCTCATCCCAGGGTCATAGTTTGTGAATAGTCGAAACTCGTTGCCAAGTTTGCTAGAGTGTTGAGGCCGAAAACCACATGGACACAAACCCAAGACCTCAGAAGCCCTGTCCTTTTGCACCTCTCCTGAACAAAAACATAACAATTACATCCATTATAGAAAAGGTTAGAAACAATCACAGGATCAATCCAATAACATAATATAAAAGGCTATGATGAGCCTATCTTGTTATTCACTTTCTAACTTCTAGTTCATTGTATAGATAGTAAAATAGTCATCTTATCCAAGTATCTGTTTTGTTATACCCGTACATCTGATATAAAAAGCTAGTACTCTAATATGCTTTGCTAATGGGTTATGATTAAAAATATATAATTAGAAGCCTTGGAACTCCAGTCCAGACCAAAACAAAATCAACAGTTACCTGTGAGTAGAAGCAAGTAAGATTTTCCTGATTGCACGAGAAAAGAAATTGTTTGAGCAACTTTCTCTAAGCACTCATTGCTCTGCCATAAAAAAATCAGTTGAAGGAGATCAATGATGTGAGATTGCATAATGTGAGTCACATCTGATCTTAGTGCCATTTTGAAAGATACAGGAACAAGAAGCAAGTGCCAGAAAAAAGAAACCAACAAGAATTTATAGGACAAAACTGAAATATATAAAAGGAAACCTCATTGTGCATGATTTTGACCCACCAAGAAGGAAAGAAAGTATTTGGTGCAATATCTGGCTAGAAAGCCACTATATTGACAACATCACATTCTTTGAAACAAAGCACATAGCAAACAGAAATAAATTAATGGGTGAATTTAATGACTTGAATGATAGCAGATGCATCTTGGATGGATCACCGATAATGTTATCATTAGTTTGTTTACATCTACCATATACAGAAAAGATCAACCTCTCCATCCATAGCACCATAGCAAGTTGACCTCTTAATATTTTCTGGGAAGTTATAATCCACTAAAGCTTAGAAATATACTTTCTATACATGATCAGATATCTTGAAATCTTCTGTATTCATCCAGAAAGTTAATTACCAAATAAGGTGGGTTAGGTAAATCTGACTAGTCTTACGAAATCGGCAGCTTAATTTTTTTTTTTTAAAAAAAGATTTCCTCTGATGGACCCTTGCATCCGATGAAACCAAAAAATGAACAATTGAAAAAATCTATTTAAAGTCAACAGGCAAATCAACAAAGGGAATGAGGACATTATCTAGAATTAATCCCGCCAATGCGAGGTGCTGGTAGGGGTAGGCTATGTATGGACCAAAAGTTTGCCATTGCTTGCATAAAGTGATTGCTCTTGTACGCAAACTCGTGCTTCTGCCTACTTTGCAGAGCAACAACATATATAGAAAACAAGTAATACCCAGAAAATCAAAAAGAAGTATTTAGGTCATTTAACATTTTGATCTAAGTAGTTTGATTGGAACCCACACGTTCACGCATTTATGTAGGCAACAAAATTGTCAGCCAGAATGGTCTGTATATCTAGTGTTTTGGAAAAGTTCGTGAATATAGGCCAAATAATCACAACAAGTGATTAAGTAGCCATTCTGGCCATAATTTGTTTCTTCCAAGTGATGAACTAGTAAGATTCTATCAAAAGGATTAGATACATGGTCTATGAGTCAAAACATGTAGATGACCACTTTTTCTAGGTCCAATTTCCACATATCTCAGTTTTAACCAGCCATCTCAGAATTTGCTCCTTATTCTTGCAATGTAGAGGTGAATTTTACGTTCAAGTATTGTACTCAGTACCCACAATCTCATATCTCATGAACCAGTGAAGAATAAAGGGTCTTGGACCAATCACTACGATTAATTACAGTAAACCAACAACTGATTACAACAGTTGCGGCTTGAATTAGGCCCCAAAATTGAACTACTCCACATGATGAGCTTTTTCCAAATTATTTTTCCTTCATATTTTATTGTAAGGTATATATGGACACACACATAAACAGGTTGGCTATATGGTTCGATTAGCCCCAAATATATGAATCAGATTGCAATGCAGGTCTCTGAACTTGCTTAAAAACGGGCCAAGCTTGGGTAAGATGCCTTGTACTTGGCCCAATCCAAAACGAATAAAGAGTTTTTATTCTGTTGAACTTGTTTTTGCATTTGGCAGACTCTCTAACAATGAAAAAAAGGTGAAAGAAAATTTTAGTACTTATTATAGAATGATTTCTATTAGCAAGGCGTCTTCTTATTTCTCAAAAAAATAAAAATAAAAATAAAAAAGTTCACTTTTTGTTATGCATTCTTTTATTAATTTCTGTCCAAATTTCATCAATAGATACATGTGCCCAAGAACGTGAGACGACAAAGCCCTGACAAACACCATACCATCCATGATGAACAAAGCAACATGTTTCAAGTCTTCAAGATGAAGTAAAATAAATCTTAAAAGCAAAAGCACCAAAAAGGTAACAACCATGAACAAGAAAACCATGAACAAGAAAACTTTACTACAAATAAGATTAAAAAAAAAAACTCTGTAATCATAATAAACAACACAATATCATACATAATTTTAACACACAAAAGAAAACACAAACATACAAAATCCCATCTAAAATCCAAGCACTAAAAGCTATACAAGTTCATAAGATCATATTACCCATTCACATCCATGTGCTTGACAATATATAAATAAACATTCTTAAACTAATATTAATTAAAAAAACCTTGAGGCTTGAACCATGTTAAGGAGATTAGTAGGAAGTAGTTCTACTTAAAAATAGTTAAAACGGGCAAAATCAGAGAGAAAGGATCATAAGAGCAAATGAAAAGCTTTCTTTCTCAAGTACTCTAAATGAATGGAATGGCCATAAAATAAGTACGAAAATGGAAAAGAACCCGCAGGTCTACAAGTAAATTCCCAGCAATGCAAAATAAGTTCTTACCAAGTAAGGAGGATCTGCAACTATAATTCGATATGCATGCTTCAATGATAATGGAAGCTCTTCCGGTTGGTTGTAGTCATAGAATGTGAACTCATTTCCATATTGCTCAAAACGTTTGTCATACTCAAGAAGTTGAACGGCAACATTAGGATCAATTTTCTGAAATTCAGATTAGGACAGAAAGGGAAGTCGCAAGTTATGACAAAGCAGTAGGTGAATGCATATTAAGAAAGTAAAAGATGAGACACATCAGTGACACTACTACCATCTATCAGTTTAAGACTTTACTACTTGGAACCTAAATTTTTTTTTTCTTCAATTGAATATTTTATCAATCATATCTATTATTATTATTATTTTTCATTACAAAGTAACCATTTTATAACCGAAATAAAGAACCATATAGTATCCAATCTGTGAAAGAATTTAGTTGGAAAATATAAAAATGGATTAACAATCAACCGATCATTAGCCAAATTCTTCAGCACAACTTGAAACACTTTAAGAATATTCATCATCGATAGTAATTTATTATAATGCTTAAAAAAAAGGTAATTAATAAAATTAAAATATACGCAAAAATTATATACCTTGAGATAAGCATAGAGTGTAGGGCAAGCAACGCAAGCCACCGACGGAGAATCGATGGACTCGCAGAGAGTGAGAACTTCTTTGGCAACGGTCTCGGCAGTTTCACGGTCGTACCAGAACTGGCTCAGCCTCCAATCCTCCGACACTAGTGCCACCTCCTCCTCGTCCAAGCCTCCGCCATCTACGGCGGCGCCGTCGTTGGAGACGAGGTTTTGGTTTTGTTCAGTTAAGAAATCTTTGAGGGCTTCGAGAGCTTGAGAACTCAGCATCGGCGGATCATCGTCGTCGTCGTCAATTCGCGAGTGTTCTTCTCCCTCGTCTCTCGCCACTTCCATTTTCGGGTTCTCTTCCTGAAACATCGCGAGGAGGTCTTTACCAGGGCATCAAACCTCAATTTCCGTGTTATTTTGTAAATTACAAATAGTGCCATGGGAATTTGTACATAGGTCCCTCTACTTTTAGACAATTCGAATTTTCACTTCTTTTCCGTTACATAAGGCGGAAGATACCCCTGCTAGGGCATGCATTTTTTTACCCAATATCTGATTTGGAGTCGTCGTCTTCTTCTTCTTCTTTTTTATTTTTTACTTTTATTTTTATTTTTTTATTTTCTTTTTGAGTTTTGGGTTACAATTTTAAATCTGAATTAAAAACGAGTTGGCAATGAGTGTTATTTGAAAGATTCAATCATCATCATATATAAATGTGAAAAAAAAAAAATATTTTTTGGTATCGAGTCACTTAAAATATCAAAATTCACTCTTGAGTACTGTAGTTATTCATTGCATAGGCTCAATATTAATTTGAAAAAATATATAAAAGTTCTTTTAATTTGTCATAATAAACTTGATTACTGGAATGAAATAAAGTTCACAACTCACAAGGCTTAAGATGCTAATTATGTTTATTTAAATATCATCTTCTTACGTTTTGAAATGCAAAAATACTAATTAAATTCTTGTATTGAGATTTTGCTAAAAGTATTTTTTTTTTCTTTCAATTTGAATAGATATATACTCAATAATTAATACAACTAGTGTAATAATATAGGTGGGAAAAAAAAATGATTAGCTAATGATAGAAAATATGAGTTTAATAATTCTTTGGGCTCACTATTAAATCTCTGTAATTTGTTGAGATCTAATAAGGAAATATAAGTTTTAATGGACGTAATAATATAAGGAAATAAATAAATTTGTGGTAAGAAAATAAGTTTTAGAAAGGTAATAATATGAGAAATTAGTTTTTTTTTTTTTTTGGTCATTGAACAGAATCTCATACACAACCACTTTGGAGACTCGAAATCTCACTATTCACTTTGAAAAATACTAATGAGTCACAAGACTTTTAGTGGGAGCTTCTGTTATTGATTAGGGTCTAATAGTATACAGAAATAAAATTTTTAGAGAGGTTACATATTGGCTGGGCTTAGGCTCGGTCTAATTGCATAAAGAAATAAATTTTTTAGAGAGATTACATATTGGTTGGGCTTAGGCCGGCTAAGTTGCCTCCGGCTCTTGCCAGCGCTTCACAGACACTGGCCATTTTAAGGGATAGGATGTGGAATGAGAGACTTGCCAATAGACTATATTTTTGGAGTTGCATAAAATAGATTAGATCATTTCAAACTAATTTTATTTTATGAGTTAGATGTCAAATATGAATTTCATATATCCTATGTTTGGGAGCACGAAATGAGCATCTTGAATGTGGGATTAAAAGAAATTCAGTTAAAAGTCGAAATTAAAATTTTCTCCAATCTCAAGTTGAAAGCAAATCATAGGTACAAATTTGAGTATATCCTTAAGATCTAACTCAAATTCAGATTCAACAAGCATGAGCCTTAGCATTGATGACATGTTTGGAATTCACTCCAATTTATGTTGTACTCTTTCCACCGCTCAATGGTACCATTCACCATATATTTTAGATAAACACTTGTCACTCCCGAATTTGGGTGAGTTCACGGTTGGAACGTGAACAATTTGCCAAAGAAAAATACTCAAATATCAAATCAAGTGATTTAAACAACCAATTTATATCTTACCATTAGATCAAAAGGTACACCTCAAAAACCTATGATAGGGCATGAGAGGCAATGAGTGTAATTTGCCTTGCAGCTTTTTCCACAACAAATTAGGCTTCTGAACTCATGTAGGCCAAAAGCCAATTAGATCGTAGGGTTCACAGAGAAACTTATCACTTAACTACACAAGTGTCCACCCATAATTCAGTTTTGAGACTAACCAAGCCAAGGCTTTAAAATTCTAGCATTAATTTGGTAAATTTCTCCGGGTTTGAATATTATATGGCAAAATCTTAAACATAAATTTGCAATATACAGATTTAATTAAAATTTTCAGATAAAAAAAATTTACAAATTCAACTCATCCTATAATTTCTAATAAATAGGATAAAATTTGATCAAAAATCAAGAAAATTTGGCCCCAAAGAAGAAAAGAAAAGAAAAAAATAATAAAAACATTGGATTTCAACATTAGGGGCAGCAATACACTAAATTTGGAATTAAATCAATTTCCCTAATGGACAGAATAGTGACAGCCCTGCGGCCACACAAATAAAACATAGTTTACAGCAATAAATGTGAGGGAAAAAAACAAATAATAAACGGCCACTGAAATTCCGAAAAACTACAACATCCACACAGAACCTACCTTATCAACTGGCATCACCCTACAATTGCAGTTCTTATTTCACCTTTCCCTCTTCTATCTCTTCTCTGTTATTTCCTGGAACTCAAAATTGTTAAGCATAAAAGGAAGAAACCGTGAACCAAATTAAAATTTTCTACAGAACCCAAATTTAATTATTTTCTATTACCAATAAGGGGAAAACAACAACTATCAGTACTTGACGTTCCTCTACAATTTTAGACATTCCATGGAGGCATACTAGCTATTTTATCCTACCATGACTAGGTCTCTACAGACTCTACTTACAGTAAGTATACCTAAAGTAGCCAAATAGAATTAATAACAAATTCAGGGGCATATGAAACCAATCAAGGTCTTGGCCATTGACAGTTTCAAGTTGTCAACAAAGAATCAGGAGGCAAACACAGCTCCGACCATCCAAAAATAAGTTTGCCCCTGTAAGACCACTTGAGGCCTTGGTTCCACACTCGATCTAAATTGTCTTCAGAGATGCATGATTGGGATGGAATGGGTAAAACAAAGCTTACCTAACAGGTAAAAAGTCATATATACTATAGTTGGGGAAACGTTCAAACAAATTCCTACAAGAGCACGGCAAATTCCACAATCAATCTAAATTGTTCTTGGCAGCCTTTTGGCAACAATAAGCACTAAACGTTAGCATTACCAAACGACCCCTTAGATGTCAAAGGAATTTATGGAAATTTAGAAAAATATTGTCCACTAAAAGTGCAATGATCGGAGACATTGTATCTGGACTACGTTTGGCGTAAGAAGAAGCGATAAAGTTATTCACAAGGAACATTTTACTTTGAATCCACAAAGTAGGTGTTTTAAATCAAGAGATAATATAGAAAAATATGATATATTATTGATAATTGAATGAATAAAAGATAATTCTGCACTTGACAGTACAAATATTTATAATAAAAGAAAACATAACTCTAGAAGAAAACTAAAACATAAAGAAACCTAATAGCAAAAGAAAAATAATACTAAAAATAAGCCTAAAAATAAAATTTCTCTAAAAATTCCAAAAAAATATAATAAGAAACCTAATAAATAAAAAACACTAAATTTTAAATTTTAAATTTTGGAGCAATTCGAGTTCGTTAAGGCCTTGAACAAAAATCCTGAAATAATTAGCAAGCCTCGTACAAGACGATGAAACGTAATTTCGGAGCCCTAAACGAAAGTTTTCAGCTGAAAACCAGCATGACCCACAAGCTAAAGCTAGTGGGTTTTTTTCCAATGCATCGTTTCCATCCAAAAAACTCTATTGGTTTGTCGAAAACAAACTCATTGAAATGCTTGTCGAACTGTGCAGAATTATGTCCTACATCAGTCCCCTCGATTTAAAAAAGACTCGTCATCGAGTTTGGCTGCAAACAACATGAATTATTGCCTACCACAAAATCATATAGTTCACTGCCATGAGAATCTCCTAGGCACAGCACCAAAGTATTTTCATTAGCACATTTCTGAATAAAAACTTCTTTACTTACAATCTGCTCAAATAATGATCATTTACCAATTTGAATCACAAATTCATCAAAACCATATTGGACATGCAATTTAAAATTTTCTTTGACCCCGTCAACAATTGATTCATATTTTTCGCTTTCAACGTCAAACTTCTTGTCACCATCATCTTCTTTTGCCGCATTAAATTCCTTAACGACATCAACTTCAACATCAACAGGTGAAACAACAAAATTCTTTTCATGATTAATCTCACAGTAAGGTGGAAGAAACTTGGCTTGCAAAAAATATTTCATCTTCAACCAAGATCGTACTCGTGCTTTTCTTTGTTGTGCATGAGAAACTCGTAACTGTTCCCACCAATTAAAAGCTATTTATTCTAATTTATATGTGACCAATGCCACCTTATTATCCTCTTTAATTTTTATGTAATCAAAGAACCTCTCAAAATCTTCTAGCCAATTCAGAAAATCTTCAACATGAAATAAACCATTAAAACTAGGAGGAAAAATGTAACGATCCTAAATGATGTCAAAATTAAAAAAAAAAAAATCGACGTGATCTCTACTAAAAATCGTCCTATGACAACCTATTTAAATGCATTTTTAACCTGTCCTAACACAATAAACATATAATACATTCCATGGTGGTACAACCACATACTATATCATCCAGATATCATAATTACAGTCCCAAAATACAAGATTAATATCAAATGTCCGTGTTTTACAACATTTAGACAGTTTATACAAAAGTTACAGCCCATAGGTATACTTAAAATAAGAGTCCATAAGTCGTTGTACAAAATACATTATGCTTAGTCGTACAAAAATAGTGAGACTCAAGTACAAAAACAACAAAATAAGCTCCTAATCCATACTAAGTCTGTGGTAGAATGTCATCCGCTACTTCTTTCCCGTTTCCTGAAAAAAAAATGTTAAATAAAAGGGGTGAGCAAAATTGCTTAGTAGGTGGTGCCTAAGACACATCAACATTTAAGTATGCTTTTAACACAAATCCACATATACACATAAGCATGAATTCCATATACAAAACCAAATCAATCATTTTAGAGGCATTCATCTCAAATTTAGCATGTTTAACTATATTTAACAAAGAATAATTCACAAGGGAGCAAGAATCTCATGGATTAGGAACCTCTACCTCACTTTTAAGCAAAACCCCCAATTTTTACCTCAAACCCTCAAAATGAGTCTCAATTTTCGGACTCTCAAGGTTGCTCAAAATTGAAAT